CAACAACCCTAAGGCGGCATTGGGATCTTGATTGGGAGGATGGCTGTATGCAATATATCCAGAAGTGGTAAGAGAAGCAGTGAACATAGTAAGGGGCTGTGGTAAAAGAATGGCTTTACCAAATATAGAACACCTCTGGCACAAAAAACAAGGAAACCCGGTTAAAAAAAATCTCAAAGCATGGAAGCAAGCGCTCCAGTAGTACGAAAATAAAGTCGGCCAGTGAGTAATGTGTCGCACAACCTATATGGGAGTCATGGAAGTATAACAAAACATAACAGAAGCGTGGGTCCTGAGTTACTGGCTTGTGACAGTAATTAAATAAAGTACTTAACTTCTGTTCTAAGGATCTAGACTTCTGTAATACCATACCAATAGGAAGTACTATAAATAGAGTGGTAGCCTAATTTGGTGGTGTATGACGTGAATACCTAGAACTATGCAAACAGCTCTCCTAATGGTGACAGCAGGTGGCTTAAGATACGGGTCTTCGAACAGCGGCAACACCTGGCTTGAGATACGGATTAGGAACTGAAATAATATCGCGAGGGACACCAACCACTCCTAGAACACCAATTTGGAAGTTATACAAGAAATGAATTAGGAGTAATGTAATAAGTGTTAAGAGGTGGATTATAACTGGTAAATATTATACAGTAGTATATATAGCAGGGTATATACGAATTAGTAAATACATTAAGGTTCTGAGTTAGGTCAGAACTTAGAGTACTTCTTGATAGAGATACCTGAGGATATTCATCTCACATGTGAGATGGTGCAGACGATTGCATTTGGGTGCTATATAGGGTAGCCAGGTGAGGTCATAATGACTACTTAGATAAGTTAAAAGTATATGTAAATATATGTAATGTTCACTTAAATAAATAATAAAGTTAATGACAAAATCGTCGAAGTTGAAAAAAAAAATAAAATAAAAAAATAAATATAGTAATAAGGCGTAGTTAGTAATTATAAAATAGATTTTTATTTTAATTTTTTAAAGATATCAAAGTCAGAAAAATCTTTATTAGCATGAAAAGATAGTATTTTTATACTTTTTGAACAATTATTAGAATTTATACAAGATAATCTTTTCTAGCTATTGAAATTATTCTTTCGCTATTCTAATTTTGTTTCATCTCTTTTAGTATATTTATTTCACTACATGTCTTTCACTATAGCTCTTTCACCTGTTTAAGAAATCAATTGCAGCGATTTTGGCTTGGTTAACCAAACCCATAAAAACGGTATCAGTATAAAAGAGCAAAAATGGAAATATTAAGGAAAAATAGTAAGATGTAATAAAATATCAATTCATTAAGCCTCTAAATAGACCTTTGTCATATATCTGTATGTTACAAATATAACAAATTAGCTATGGCAATTTTCCTTTATTATAGGTTTGGTCAACCAATTCCTTAGGAATGGTATGAAGAAACTAAAATAGAAATATTAAGAAATTGAAACGAAAAAATAGTAAGCCATAATAAAGTGTCGATTCATTAAGCCTCTAAATAAACCTTGTTTATAATAAAAAGTATGTGTGGCAGTGCATAGAAGAACTGAGAGAAAGAAAAAATATATATATTAATTAGGAGCTGTAATATTCTAAAATAAAATACAATAATAAAAACTTATCTTTAAAAGAAAAAAAAAGCCTTGTTTCTTGTAAAAATTCTGATTAAACAATAGGTTTTGGCTGTAGAAAATTAGTATTGTCAACTAAAGCCTCATACTAAAGTTATAAAAAACATTAATTTTGTCACTGTGAAAGAGCAGAACCTTCGAATTAAAAACTTAAATTAATAAAAAATAAATAAAATAAAAATAAAAATCAATGTTATTATTCTTAGTTATATCAAAATTTATTAAAAACATTTCTCAACTTCGTAAACAGATAAAAGACTCCTCGATAACTAAAATACGAATTATGAATGATACAATTATGTGTTATAATTATAAAGACGAACATGTTTCCTTTTTATTCTCTCAAAATATTACCACCAATTTATTAGAAGATGCTCAGGTGTTATTGTATTTGGAGAATTTAAAGAGAACTGATATCTCTACTAGATCTTTTGAAGAAGTATATGGCGAAACCTAAAAAGATCAGATCACAGACATTAGAAATAAGATACGTCAAAGTTATCTTGATCAGGTCTCTCTTCTTCAGTATTATTATCTTTTGGGAAAATGGTTAGAAGCCCAGTTTTGGAGTTCAGCTACCAAAAAAATTATCAGAATCAATTTTTCAGATAGTGTGTATCATTATACATGGAATGTAGCATCATGTGTATATAAATTATACCATACTCAGGGTATTTGTAATCTTTTAACTGTTCAAAATATTATTGCCAATGCCTTATTATAACTGTCGAATGAAAATTTTGGTCTTGGTAGAAGAGGCTAAATTGATTAAAGCAGTTGAAATTAACAATATTCTAGAGTTCCAATTGGGAACTCGGGAATAAAAAAAATATATTGTGCTTGTAATATATATGGTTTAATAACTTATTACTTAAAATGAGTAAGTTATAGCAAAAAAAAAATAATAAAATAAGTAGTAAAATTAAAAGTGTATCTATTTAAAAAAAAAAAAAAAATTAGAGTATCAAAAGAATAGGTTTTAATAAAACTTGATTTTTGTGTTCATAAGTTATAGCATCAGCGAAATATACTAACATAAACTTACGCAAGTTATTACACCCTGAAATATTGCGCAATAATTACGGTCTGGACATAATATTGCACAGAAAATTGCGCAATATTGCGCAATATATAACATAATATTACGAAATATATTACGCAATATTACGAAAAAATACGCTATAAATTGCAAAATATTTCGAAATAATTCGAAACAAATCGAAATAGATACAAATAAATCAAAACGGCAAAATATTTATAAATATTTCAAATTTACAAATAATAATCGCTCTAAATCGGGGTATTTCGAAAACTTTCGAAATAAATTAAATACAAAAACGAATAATAGGAAATATATTTAAATGTAATAATTATACAATTTATTAGATTTTTTCGAATTATTTCGAAAAATGCCAAGTTTATTGCATTAATTTAAATAAACTGAATATAAATTTTATAACTTTAAATATATTTTATTAATAA